CATGGCCCTAAAATGAAAATAACCTGAAAACAAGTAATTAAAATAGGCTTAATAAATAAATAAAGTGACGGGTAGGCCTAGTAACCTAATGGTTTATGATGGTTTACAAATGACAACCGGACAATATCACGAAAAAAACACACTTATGATAGCCTATTATAAATCTTTATTTTTTTAATTTAAAATGATGAAAAAAGTTATATAGCCTGAGTTGCGTTTTATCGTGCCAAAATGTAATTTTCACGGTAATAACGTGAATTTTGGTATCTTTTTTAGGTATTTTTCTGGCTACACTAATGCCTTAAAATATAACTAAGTAATTGTTTTAAATGACATTAGATTGTAACATTTAGCTTTTTCCTAACACTGATGTTGGTTGGGTAATAAGCTACATGAAGCATGATGACTCGGTTAAGCTGATTTCACTATATTTATTTACCGGTTATACGAATAGTCTGATCGTGGGTCAGCTTGCATGTCCGGGCATAATTTGACGTCTTTTCTTAAAACTTTAAACATTCATAGGCCTGTTATTTGAAATAAAATGGAAATAAATAAAAAGAATAACATATGATTTAAAGCACTCGTTTGGCACTGAAGCAATGATCCGTCTAAATAAGCGGTATTGTTGCATTACCATCATTAATAAAATCAGTAATGGCGAAACTGCATATTATTATTACTATTAAAACGTATATTACTGCCTTAGGTCAGTAACTTAAGCAGTAATGCAAAGTAATAAATAATAAAGGTGAATAAATAGCCTAAATGAAAGGAACAAAAGAGAGCAAAATCAGTCACCAGGTCTAGTGCCCCCCTGTGGATTTAAAATGCCCCCTTAATTCTGACATCCTGGCGCCGGGCCTGTACTGGCCTCACTAACACTGGCTGCCTGACTGTTCAGTCAGCAACATAAAAGCATAAAGAACCACAGATGCAGTTTGAAGATCTGTCTTTTTTTTGTCTTGATTCTTTTTTTGTAAAATAGTGAAAATGAAATAAATCTCTGACTCTCTCATATAAATCTTGTGCAGTGTGTTTTATAACATAATAATGTTCTCCTGATGAAATCAACCATCATTAATGAGCAGTTATACAAAACAAAACTATTCTTTAACAGAAAAAAATTGTTACATTTATCAAATCAGTTAACAAAAATTGTGCTTACAGGGTATTACCCTTAATGGAAATATCTAAACTATTAGCACAACCCTTTAACGCTGTTTATTTCCAAATGAAAGTGAAACTGAAAGCAACTTTCCGCTACCAACATCAACCAGCAGACGGCGCTCGAACACCACAGAAACTCAAATCCATTTATTATGAGCCACACATAATACCATTTCCCTTGATTCAGTCATACCTCAAATATTCTCCAATGCATTTATGATATTCTAAGACTACAATACAGTTATTTAAAATGGTAAATTAACTTAAAATATATTCTGTGACGTTATTCTAAAAACGTCACGTAACTTATTAGCATAACCATGTAAACCCTAACACATACACACATTCTCTATTCTAATCTATTGGTTTATATATATATATATATATATATATATATATATATATATATATATATATATATATATATATATATATATATATATATATATATATACACACACACACACACACACACACAATAGTAGAAATTAAAATGTGTGTGTGTTAGGGTTTGGTTTACATAGTTATACAAACATTAATGTTTCAATACAATAAAATAGACAAGGGACAATAACCATTTTCAATGTATACCGCAATTTGGAAAATTCAAGCTTTTAAACTGCCAAAGGTTTCTGCCATATAGTTCCTACAGTATATGTATTTTTTTCCTTTGTTTTTAATACGTTTTTTATTTTTTAAATATTTTTTTTAGGACAACAGTATCTCCAGCACAAAAGATATACAAAAAATGCCATTTTAAAATGTATAGAAGTTTTTGAAGCTAATAAAGAAATCAGAAGTCAATAATTCATTTTTATTCTTTACTATTACCATCTTTACTATTCCAAAAAAAGTTTAAATTGTTTCTCAAAATAAAATATATCATGCTCAAAAGGGAAAAGGTTTTGTTTTTTCCCAGACATTTAAAGAGAATATATTTTAGAGCAGTAATCACAATATTGAGAAACTGATTTTTTTTTATCCAAGGTTATCATACCAGAATCTTATACCGGCCTATGTGTACAATGGAAAACAGGAGTAATTGTATTAGCCTCAACCAACAGGTCAACAAAACAAAAGTTTTTATTTTATTTTTTTTTATAAAATTCTGGCAGTAATTTGGGAATGCTTGCATTTGACTTATACCAGCAATGCACCAATTATGATTTAGAACAGTAACTTTCTAACAAGACCATTCATATATCCACAGCAAAACATGAGCAAATTAGAAACGTCACTCTAGCCATTAACGAGGTGGTCCACAATGTAATTTTAAGGCTTGGTTGTATTTATAAGATGCAAAGCAATGTGTGCTCATGTTTCACTTGAAGGAATTTGCGTTATTTTTTATTTTTTCATATATCTCACTTTGATTATACGCAGCTACTCAGCTAACATGAAAACAACTGTCAAATTTCCTAGTTCCTCTGAAAAGCCCGCCCTTAAGTGAATCTGATTGGTCATCGTTATAATGTGCTGCGATTAGTGAATCGGGTCCATGTCACGCCCATAAAAGCATGCGCCTTTCTGCTGTGTAAACCTCAGTCAACCTCCTGCCTGCTCTCTAAAATAACATCTGACAATTGTCTGTAACAAATGTAAATGTAAACAGCTCCTTTAATAGCGTGTGCGTCTATGTGTGTGTGTGTGTGAATGTGTGAACTTTCTGTAACAAGCGCATGTGCGCAGGACTTACTTTTTCTCTGATGCTTGGATTAAGTTATTTTCTGTAATATAGTTTTATTATATACAGATAAAATACAGATTTATTTTTCTGCTGCTAGCACTGTATTTTTTTAACTCAACGCATAACATGACGGCTTTTACGTGTATCCGGAATATGCAGGTGTAATATGAATCATCCACATATCTTTTGCGACTTCATTATCTGAGATGTGAAACGCATGGAAAAGCTGCAGCCAGTCACGCACGCGCACACACATAAGAGACACGACCATGCTGGTGGAGTGTGTGTGAACGTGTGTGTGTGTTCACAGCAGTTTGACTGATAAATATGAATTTGTAGCTAAATTGTTTGCCCGCAAAGCAGCATTACCCATTGTTTACATCAATGCTACAGCATACCGTTAACGCTAGACACTGTACATGTCATGATCAATTTTAACTAATAAAAACACTTACTGGTTGTACCTGACAGCTTCTGCTTTGAGGAGATTTTAGCCGAATCCAGCACTGAACTGGGAGAGATTGTAGAGTTGTTTTGTCAAATCATGCTTGCTGTGTATTTTAAAATTCTCTGGAACATAGTTAATATTGAACTGTAAGCACTTCTGTCTTTGTGTTGTGTCCTTTGGAAGCCCAAATACAGAAACAGACGAAGCTCTGTGGAAATAGCAGCGTTTAGACACATTTTTAGCTTAATCTCTTCTATAACGTTACAGGGCCTCTGGCCACGGGCCTTACCTGCTCAGTTTGGATGCGCAGTAACAAACTTTTGTGATCTCACAAGGCCTGGAAGTATTTTTTGTAGTCCCCAAAATTCGTTCATTGTAGGCTTTGCTAAGCTAACTCTGTAAAAACCAAGGTCTCCCTTTGCATTGAACTTAGAACTTTTTGCATTCAGAGATGTTGTTTATGTTCACACACCTACATTAAACATCAGCTAAAGTTTAAAATGTGATATCATAGTGGACCACCCCTTTAAACCTAAAAGTAAAGAAACTTTACTAATAAAAGATGCAACACAGGACAATTGAATGGGCTTTTTAAACTTGAAGACTTGGTTTACTGCAAACCAACCGTCCTGGAGCTCCACCTTCTTTGATGTGCAGTGTCTTCCCAGTGATTTGTTTCTCATTCAGGGAGTCAGACAGAGAACATCATCCAAAAGAACACTAGTTACATGAATACACTGGAGAGTGGAGTACAGATGTATCCGCACCTGTACAATCACTTGCAAAGAGATTTTAAGCCGCAGAGGTGCTGTTTGCCAGATGTTTATGAAACTGTTCTTTACTCAACCGCCATCATTGTGTTTAGGGTAAACGCAATGAGTGCAACACATTTACAAACCCACCTACTGCAGTGTAGGAATGTTGGAAAACAGTAAATCATCACTCAGCCTTTTCAAACATTTTGAACCAAATGAGTGAAATTCTGTAAACACTGATCAGATCTGTACAGTTTCTTTCCAGTGAATCCTCTTCTGTTTTCAGATGTGTTAACTGATTAAACCTCGTCAGAGTGTGAACACTTGCACAGTCTCTCCAATGTGAAACGTCTTGTGCAGTTTGTAATAAAAGTCTTCTCACACTCAAAGCACATATAGTCTTTCACACCAGTGTGGATCTTCATGCCTTTATTAAGATTTGCTGATCGGTTTAAACTCTTCCCACACTGAGTGCATGTGAATAGTTTCTCTTCAGTGAGAGTCTTCATGCGTTTATTAGGGTCTGAGGAGTTACTGAAACTCTTCCCACACCGAAGCTGTGGTCACACTAGAGTTTATGCATGCGATATTCTGTTGAACGGTGCGGCGAAAAGGGGCGGATTAAACAAGATGATTAGACATTAAAAAAAAGTGAGTGATTGGTCCATATTTTACATTTCTATCCAGAGAGTTCATGTTTTGATCTTCGATTGGTCTCACTCAGTCAACTGATGCAATTACGCAGGTCAGAGTTCACCAAGCTTGAACTTTGCAATGCAGTGAACTGTGAAACTTGACACACGAACTTCCATTTCCGATCTGATGCATGTGTGTGCTTATAAATGGAAGTCTATGGGGAGAAAAGTCCAGTGTGACCGTGGCTTAAGTGCAAGTAAATGGTCTCTCCCCAGTGTGTCTCATCATGTGTAAATTAAGGGACCATGGTCGGCTGAAACTCTTCCCACAATGAGTGCATGTGAATGGTTTCTCTCCAGTGTGGACCCTCATGTGTTGATTAAGGGATGATGAGCGGCTGAAACTCTTCCCACACTGAGTGCATGTGAATGGTTTCTCTCCAGTGTGGATCCTGATGTGTTGATTAAGGGATGATGAGCAGCTGAAACTCTTCCCACACAGAGTGCATGCGAATGGTTTCTCTCCAGTGTGGATTCTTATGTGTAGATAAAGGTGTGATGAGTAGCTGAAACTCTTTTCACACTGAGTGCATGTGTATGGTTTCTCTCCAGTGTGGATCATCATGTGTTTATTAAGGGTTGATGATTGGCTGAAACTCTTCCCACACTGAGTGCATGTAAATGGTTTCTCTCCAGTGTGGATCCTCATGTGTAGATTAAGGGATGATGAGCGGATGAATCTCTTCCCACACTGAGTGCACGTGAATGGTTTCTCTCCAGTGTGGATCATCATGTGTTTATTAAGGGATGATGATTGCCTGAAACTCTTCCCACACTGAGTGCATGTAAATGGTTTCTCTCCAGTGTGGATCATCATGTGTTTATTAAGGGAGAATGAGCGGATGAATCTCTTCCCACACTGAGTGCATGTGTATGGTTTCTCTCCAGTGTGAATCCTCATGTGTAGTTTAAGGTGTGATGAGCAGTTAAAACTCTTCCCACACTGAGTGCATGTAAATGGTTTCTCTCCAGTGTGGATCCTCATGTGAATTTTAAGATAGCTTTGTTTTTCAAAACTCTTTCCACACTGAGTGCAGGTGAAACGATTCTTGTCTCTCCTTTTCAAAATACCATCAGTCTGTAAATGAGTTTTTTCCTCAATTTTGACATGATGTTGTTCCTCTTTATCCACCTTAATCTCTTCAATTAGGTCTGAAATAAATAAATAAAACATTATTTTTCATTAAGTCTTAAAAACTCTCATCAAAAGCTGAAAAGTGTCCGCGCCGCGCCGCCCAGGCACGACTCATGACTATTCATATTTCTGCCATGCCACAGAGCGCCATCTAAATAGTTTCATTTGAACTTTCCTGTCGTGTTCGGGTCAAACCTGACCGATTTACAACTTAAATAACTCATAAATATTGTGTTTTACATCTGATTGCCTCATGGCTCTATGAAATCCCCCACACTATGCACTTGAACATATAAAAGTGATGAGCACCTCTTTCATTGAATTTTGAGTGTTTTAATCAACCTTGTAACACCTGTGGTGTTCCCGGTCAAAAGTGACCGCCATAGGAAATAAATAGGTATCCAGATTATTTTCATCTATCTGACAGAAAACATCCATCCACACACAACCTCAACTCACTCACCCACCCACCCACTCACTCACTCACTCATTTCAGACTGAACAGTGTCTTTGGCAGGTACACATCTCTTTTACGCGCTTATGTGCTGATCCTCCAGCCTGATCTCACAAATAAACATAACTATTTTACGTTTTGTCAGTTTAGTGGCTAATTCATATGAGATCAGTCATACAAAATTGTATGAATTATAAAAGGAGGCATGGCACCCAACCCAACCTCTAAACCCAATCGTCATAGGAGATAAGCAAATTGTACAAAACTATATGAATGAGATCATACAAATTCATATGGATTAACTACTAAAGCAGTAAGTTATGAATTGCTATTAAAGTGTTGGGTCCTCTAACATGAATCAACTTCCTGATAACACAGACTAAACAGGTGTCTGTTATGTGAATCCATCTGTGTGTCTCTTTCTAAATTTCTTATTTTATTTTTTTTGTTTATTTATTTATTTTTCTCTCTGGAAAAAACACAGAGAAGGAATCTTGTTTCCTTTCTTTCTTTCGTTTAGCCAATCTCTCAGTCTAGCAGGAGCACTTTTAGTTTAGCAACAATTATTTTATTATATTAGACCATTATTATCTCGCTCAAAAATGGCTAAAGTATAACTAGAGCTAGTTGTGTGGTCATGCTTACCATATATAGCCTCAGTCACTATTCCCTATATTAGTATACTTGAAGGCCTGAAAATTTGATCTCTCAGAACACAGAAAAGGACAGCATTTTGTTCGTGCTTTGCTGGTTGATAAATCATTCAGATGGATTAAAATTAAAATTTCTTTGGTCAGACCCTGTGATAGTTTTCTTAGTTAGCTGTCTATTAGTAATGAAACAAAGTATTTTGATTCCAGTCATCTATTGTTCATTTTGTAATATATTTTCAGCGCCTATTTTTATTTTCATCAGTTATTTTATGTCTAATTCTGTAAATTTATGTAAACACTACTTTGAGACATTGTTTACAGCTGAAGAATGTTGAATAAAAATCTGGTGGAGAAAAGTTATCTTTGTGCTAATATAAGAGCAGTTAAAACAGACCGGTCAATTTTGACCGGGAACACTAAAGTAAGGGGTAGGATGCGAACACGACAGGAGGGTTAAATAACATGCGAATGTGCACGTCTGGTGTGTGATACTATCAACTGTGATGTGCACGCCATGCCATGGCTCTGAGTGGCGCATCTACTGTGTGACACCCTTAAGAAGCACAAAGGGGTGCATTAAAGGCACTCATAAGTGAGCGTTGTGTCATACTACCTCTAAATGTTGAATTCTAAACAGCTTTGAGGGATACGGATGTCAGGCGTTTGTTATTGTAGCTTATAGAAGGCAAAGCGTGCAGTACGGCGCATGCGGCGAGCGACTCACTTCATCAATACGTATGATTGCGTTCATCTAATTTGCTTAAACTAAGCATTCTACAGTATGGCTTTATTTTACAAGCAAGGATTCTAACACCAACATGCATCAGATGCTTTACAAAAGTTGCGTGTAAGTGAGAAACACGTCAAACTTATGAAATGTAAGGGCTCAAGGAATCACCTTAAAGGTGAGGAATAGACTGTCTTTAACAGCTTGTGACATTATCTGGCACATTATTTGAGTACGTTTACATGGACACCAATACTCTGATTTTAATATGATTAAGACAATACTCTGATATGTAAACAGTGATTTTTGATTATCTTAAAGGACCACAGACACAAACTGCGGAGTAAACATTAGGCTGGTGATACAATGATGTTACTGGTCAATGTGCTATAACATGTAACTGGGAATCATGAATGTAACATTTAAAAAGCTGCTCATGTAAACATCTGAATCATATTGTCTTAATCAGATTAAGGCAAATCATTAGATCACTGATGTCCATGTGAAAGTAGTCACAAGCCCCAAACCCAGAAAAAAAGGTGTTCCCTAATTTTGATGACAGCCTTTCCACAGGTTAGCAGTAAGCTAATGTAACGTTAATAGCATAATGCAAATCTGGCATTTATGCTAACAAACAAATTATCAAAATAAATATATCATTGCAATTCAAATATATAAAATATGAATTGATATTTTCTTTAAACGTAATATAAATATATATTTATATTGCTCAATTATAATGAATATATATATATATATATATATATATATATATATATATATATATATATATATATATATATATATATATATAAAATTATTTTTTTTTTTTTGATCAATTAATTTTGTGGCTAAAAGGTATCGGTTCAGGCACTGTTTTGGCACGAGTACTGTTTTAAAAGTATCAATTTAGAACCGGTATCGAAAAAAAAAAAAAAATGATACCCAACCCTAGTTATAAGTGCATAGTTCTTTTCATAACCAACTGTATATTTGAATGAACATTGTAGTTTTTCAAAAGAATCGTTAATGCATTTAACAAACCTTTTGAAATCAAACGTGACAAACTGCGGGTCTGCGCTTACCATAGAAAACTCTTTTCTTAACATAGAAGCTCTTTGTTTTCACGTCAGGGCATTTTAGGCAACTGTACAATGTGGCATTAGCGTGTAGGACCATCTGTACAGTATGCCTGACACTGAACTGTTTTGAGTGATGACCCCACCTCATCACTATGTTGAGGGTAAATGGCTGATCTCAGTGAGCAAATGATTCAAGTGTATAATACAAATATAGTAAAAAAAACTAATTTTGCTTTACATAATGTTCCTTTTAACTAAATTTGTTTTAAAAAATTTAATCATTACTGGGCACTACAATGTTACTTGCTGGAGGACAGAGGATACCCTTTTCTGCCTTATATGATGACACCCTACCTGCAGCCTTATCCAGAGGAAACCTCAGTGACCCAAGCAGACCAAAGAGATAGATTGATTGTTTTGTGATACAATAGTAAAATTCAAATATGGAAAAGAGCAGACAAATTCTTACACTGCTTGTTAGTTGAGGCAGAAATAACTTTGTCTGCATGCAAAAAAAAAGCAAAAAATAACCTAAAACTACCAGACAACAATCACTTACAACAGTGACAGATTGTGTGGTTTAAGTCAAAGAACTCAACCACTGATGAGCCTTTATTAAAGGACAGAGCAGCTCCTCCACCTGGTGGCCCACAGCAGTTAGACATGCCTCAGCCTCCTTTATATTAGCTGCATGACAGAAAGAATATTCTAGAGTGTGTAATACAGCTCAAGTAATCAAATAATATTTTTTCAGAGAATGTTTCTGTTTAATTATGTCTTTGGATAGAGTTCTTCTAGCTCCAGAAGGATTACAATTTCTGTAAGTCTTATTAGTCAATACACATTTGTATTGTGGTCTTAAGAAATTAATGGCAGGAAAATTAAATGCATGAATGGTTACATAACATACTAAAAAAGGTTGTTAAAGAGAAGTTAAATTTTTCATTACAATAAAAGGGAGGGTGGCATGTGTAATTTAATGAACTAACAAATTTTCTTATTATTTATTTTTTAATTTCTTATCTATTTCTCATATTATATTTCTTTCATTGATGCAGATGTGTAATCTGTGATTAAAACCTCCACCTCTGTAAAGTGCGCTGGTCTTTTTTACTCACCGTGACTATCTATGGTATCTTGTGAATTTGGCGATCTGCTGAGAATGCCTTCAGGTATGCGCCGTGCGCATGCATTAACCCACTGTTATCTTCAGGAGTTTGATTTAACTAACTCTTATCAGCCGTTTTAGAACCGACATAACTCACGGTAAGCAGGTTTTGGGTTACTCAACCAAGAGTTGGATTTAGCAGATGGGAAGTTAACCCAGCTTTCTGGAATACCCTCTAGTCTCTAATCTGAGCTGCTGTTAAAGGTGCAGTAGGTGATCTGCCAGAATGCTAGCATTGGCGTAATAGCTTAGAACTGGTGTGACCAACCCTGTTCCTGGAGATCGACCTCCCTGCAGATTTCAGTTGCAACCCATATCAAATACACCTGCCTGTAATTATCAAGTGCTGTTCAGGTCCAAATTAATTGGTTCAGGTGTGTTTGATCAGGGTTGGAGCTGAACTTTGCAGGAAGGTCGATCTCCAGGAACAGGGTTGAGCACCACTGGCTTAGAAATTTCATGACTCTCCCCTGCCATTCTGGCAGAGAAGTGAATAACTCATCACATTCTTACGAAGATATTTTATTTATTATTGTTATTATTTCATTGACGTGAATACAATAATGTGTGACATAATAACTAACCAGTCATCTAAAATCTTAGAAATAATAAAATAGCCTATTGTTTTATTCATGGCTAGAGCTTGATTAATTTGATTGATGAGGCAATGAGACTTTTAATTCGCCTGACTGAATGTAAGTTTATTGCACGCAGCACTGCATTTGACAGCACAAAACTCACTCTGATTTGGGAGACAACTTTACCAACGACTGCATTTGTTGCTGAAAGACTTTTTTTTTTGCTGCACATCAAGTAAAGTGAATAAAGACATGCTTAACATCATCAATGTCCAAATTCCACAACACCATCACTATATCCATGGAACACGAACATGCAAACTCTTTTGACAACGAGGAAATAACTGCACTTTTTAATTCAAAGCCCAGACGGCTAGTTAATTTGATACCAGCGAGACAACCTGAAGGACAGTTATGATGTGTTGTAGTGTCGGCTGTCCAAAAGTCTACAGTAGAAAGTCAACTCTTTATAATATATTTGGACTTTGCTTGAAAGCTTTACAGAGGGGCACTGTAACTGTCCAAGGTACTGTTGTGTGATTTATATTATATATGCACCAATAAACAAGTCAAATAAATGAATGAATTAAATAAATATGCATTCTTAAATGTCGGTATTGCTTTTACTCAAAAATATCACTAGGTTTTGACAAATATTTTATAAAAATAAAATGAGCAATTTTCATCATTTCAGCTATAGGCCATTATATGATTTAGTTATAGTTATAGTTTTTTATTTCACTTGCTGCATTCGTTATTTAATGTTTGAATACTGAAACAAATAATAGCCATCGCTTAAAGGGTTATATTTTACCATCAAACTGTAGTATATTTCATATCATTATAAACTTTTGATATAAAACCGCTGTGTAATTTAATTGAGTGTTAAAAATGAAATAATATAAGTTAATATAAATAATATAATTTAAACCAGGGTTTCTGTACATTTCGCCAAGTAAAAAGCAAGACTTTTATGACATTTTAAAAACCAATATGAATGAAATGTTAGACTCATAAAGGGCTAAAGGCAAAGGAATTTTTCAAATGGCCCAGATGAAAAAAAAAATGTATTTGCCCTATCAAAAATATTATATATATATTTATACATTTAATAACACAATAATAAATGAATAATAAAAACACAATATTTATATATTTATTAGCAAAAGATTGTAAATATTGTGTAAAAACAAGCAAGCTTTACTTATATCCATACACTTTTCCAAACATGAACTTTCTTTGAAAAAATAATAAAAAATGATCAAATGTTTTAAAAGTTTTAAAAACTAGAATAAACTAAATCTCTGCACAACAATATGTCCGGGTCGATGTCCTCAGCAGTAAATACATGGAGCATGTTTAAACAAATGTTATTGTAAGTTAAATAATTAAACCATTATGATAAATAGAGTTAAAATGACCTTTTTGAAGTTTTATTGAGATGGATTGGTGGTGATTGTATGGGTTTTGGCCAGATTGGGTAGCAAAACATGAACAAATGAAAATAAAGATTTGTTTAAAACAAGATCTAAGACCTACAACACAACATTTCAGTAAATTTAAGACTTTTTAAGGCCTAAAATTTTAGATTTTGGAATTTAAGATATTTTAAGACCCTGCAGAAACCCTGTTTAAACACAATAGCCCTGGAAATTAGTTATTATAATAAAGATGTAATTCTAACTCAGATAATATCTGTGAGAACTAGCAACAACTACTATAAACAAGTTTAAACCCATAAAGAAGTTGATGAAAAAAGGGAATTGTGATCAACGTGACATATGCAAATGGAAAGTACTAAGCCAACACTATCACTGTAATAGCAGATATCTTCTATGAGAATACTGTAGGTCAAATATCGTCAGCTCAGTTAAACTTTTTTTTTTTAATTTATAGTTTTTATTTATTTTATATAGTGCCAGTGCTCCAGGACGCTTTACAAACAGTAGAAGAACAAGAAAAGCAATAAACTCAAGAAGATAGATAAAATAAGAGACTAATATTACAACAACAACAAAAAAAAAATACAAAAAGAAACTCATTCCTGTCTTTCAATGAGTGCTTATGTGCATTTAGGAGAACTAGGCAGCACACTCAGGGCTGCAAGATGGATTTAATTTAGTATTGTTATTATTAAAATATATTTGAATGAGGATCAAATGAATGAGTTGGTCTTTGAGAATGAAAATCACCTGTTTGTTCCTGCAGATCTTCCTGTTTGACTGTGAATGTTTCTTCAATCTTCACATCTTCACTCTCCTCTTTAATAAACGCCATCTTTATAACAGTGTGGAGATCAGTTGCTTTAGCAGGACTTTTTCTCTGTGTTTGGACACTTTATTCTGTTTAAAATAAAACATTAAAATGCCCTGTTTAAATAAATAAAACAATAAACAGAAAAAAAAATAACTTTTCTTCAACACTTGCTTCAACAGTTTCTTTATATGAGAGTAATTAACAAACAGAAATCAGGTAAAAGAGTAAGTCTGAGCAAGAAACAAAATGCCACAAATGACCCAAACAAAACTAGTACTCTATTTCTTATAGTGATGTATACTTAGAATGAAATGACATTATGCTATTTAATAAATTAAACCTTCATTAAAACACTTACAGACTTTTCTGTTGCTTTATTCAAACATTAGCCCTCATTACTGTGAGTAAATGATTACTACGTTGTATAAAGAGTTAAAATAATATTGTTAATAGCAGGTACATAATTTACTTTCGGATAAAAACGTGAAACTTTAATCAATCGCTTTATATTAATGTAAGAGCTTTGAAACAAACCTCTTTCCAGTGGCATCACAGCGCAGGAGCGGCGCGGCCTTATGACGTCACACGCCACGCCACGCCAAAATAAAAGTCTTTTTGTTTAGCTTTTTATTGTTACTTACTGGCGCAGTCATGACTTGTTGATACATTTCTACACAGACACACATATGTTCAGTATTTGGAGTTGATCAAAACCTTTACTCTAAACATTTCTAAGACATTTAAAATAACGTTTTTAATCCACTAAGACTAAGAGTTTAAAGCAGAAATTTTGTCAATTTTTGCCGTTTCTTTTATTGAATGGATGTGATTTTGTCATGTCCCACACACTGCTCAGACAACTTCTAAAAAGTAGGTAAATTAGATTAAATTAAAAAGATTTTAAAAATATTCTTATTTTTTAACAAGTTATTTGATAATAAAAAGCCATTTAATAACTTTTATTTTGTTTTAATAATATCATTAATCATTTTGCACATGTCTTTAAAATTGCTGTCCACCATGTTCTGATGTGGTAAATGCCCCTTTAAGAAACCCTTTGATGTACTCATTGGCATCCTCATGCCCATTTTGCTTTTCTTCAGAGGAGGTGAACACATCTGCTGTGCACACAGTAAATATCTACACTTATGTTTCCAATTTTTCCTCATATTGTGTTTGAAAATGAATGTTGTCAAGCTTAACATGTCCACCCTGTCAGAGTGAAATATTCATTAAATTATTATTTTCTTTTTTAAATTCAGATATTAAAATGTAGCTTTTAAACTGTGTACAAAGAGCTTAAATAGGGAACACTTTAGCAGCAGGTACAACCTGTGTTGAATAAATGATATCTTTAGCCAAAAATGTCCTCCCTGTTATGTCCACCCGGTCACAAATGCTTCCTTGACAGGGTGGACATATGCATTCTTATTGACAGTTTTTTTTTTTTTTTTTTACTATTTTATTGTTAATTAGTTCATGCTTTTTATGTTACAACACATACACACACAACCTTTTGGCAATATATGTCTCAGTATTATAAAGGATATCCTTTAAACGTCCATATAATGAAGCTCATTGACTGTTTGAAATAAAACTACAGCCCTGAGTATTTGTACATTTATGTGAACATCTGATCTAATTATTTACCTTATTCTGAAAAATAAAACAAGGTGTTATCAAGGTGTTTAACTTAGATTGCTTCCAACATTTCCTACAATGAACAATTTAAAGATTCATTACCAAATTTAGTTTAATTTGAAGGACAATAATTGTTTATTTTACCATTAATTTGCATATTGATGCAAAAAACAAAAACAAATTGATAACAGAAGAGACTCAGTAGTGCACTGCAAATTTTAGATAGTAGATTTAACTACCTTGGAGTTAAAATTAACACTCCCTCAGAGTTTATATGGGAACCACTATAAGTGTTAAAAATAACACTTTTGAAAGTGTTAACATTGTCAACACCAAGAGAGTGTTAATTAACAAACTCTTATTGTGTAAAATATCTGTTAAATTTCCGAAAAAATACCAGCAGCTGTGGTTGCCAGAATCTTTCTGTGAAAAACATGGAAGTTTTATAGAACTGTATACATTTACAAAAAATAACCACATTTCATGAACTAATACATTGTTCATTTTACAAAATCATAGCTTAGTACACAAAAATGTAAAGTCTTCAAATGCAATAATGTTTGCATGTGTGATTGCAATTAGCGAACAGATTTTGACTGCATTAATAACTACACAGTTACTTTTAAACAAAAGAAGATGCAGCATAACATCAAATATTCTCAGTTCATCTCGGACTTGAACACAGACGCTATTATCCTCCACAATGGTGACACAAAATCCGTTTAGCTGTTTTTTTTTTTTCATTTTTAGATTTTACTGAAAAACACCAGCAGCTGTGGTTGCCAGTAATCTGCTGTTTTTAACATTCATAAATTCAATTTACAGAATATTTCTGTTTAAAACACATTCAACAGTCTGTATTTTTTATCGATCTCACACTGCAAATTTTAGATTTGGTAGATTTAACTACCTTAGAGTTAAAATTAACACTCCCTCAGTGTTTATATGGGAACCACTATAAGTGTTAAAATAACACTTTTGAAAGTGTTAAAATTTTTAACACCCAGAGTGTTAATTAGCAAACTCTTACTGTGTAAAATATCTGTTAAATGTATGTCAAAATACTGGCAGCAGTGGTTGCCAGTAATCTGCTGTTTTCAACATTTTACATTCGTAAATTCAGTTTTCAGAATATTTCTGTTAAAAACAAATCCCATAGTCTGTATTTTTTATTCGAACACACGTAAGCCTTAAATTCCAGAGCAAAATCCTAACTAGTGTCCTCACTACAGAGGGCTGAACACTTAGACAGTGATGAAGTTAATGAGAAAATAAAATGTCTAATTAAAGGAGGATTGAGAATTGTTGATAAAAAACTGTTAACAAGCAGAATCACTGAAGGACAGAAAAACACAAGCCAAAACCAAAGATGAAATCAACTGAGAAAAAAACTCTAAATAAAATAATAATCAATAAAAATAAAACAAATTACACAATAAAAAATGTTATTTTTCAACATCTTAAAAAAAAAAACTCATCAAATTAAACAACTTATCATGGAGCTTCACCTATTACTGACCTTTGACTTGATTTCTGTCATGTGAACAAAAGCTCTTAATGAAATTTCCGTTGTTCATTTGAAGTCACCATGATGGAGGACAGAGTCTGCTTTTTATTACTATAAATGTATTTTATTATGGCTGCTATAGTTAGTGTTAATTACACTGTATACATATAGCATGGAAAGTCGAAATAAAATTAAAGTGTCAGTCTGAAGAAGTTATTTATGATAATATAACCATCCTTTCCTGCTTGTTTTTTAATTCAGTATCATATTAATTATGTGTGAGATATAAATAATATACATAAATGAAACCACTGAAGCTCCAATAATATATAATAAAATAAAAACAATATTTACAATGAGAATGTTTGATCTATGGCAGAACTTAAAAACACCCAGACATCAACAATTAGACTTTGAATCTGAATAATGGTGACAAACAAAAAAATAAAAATCAAGTAAAAAAAACACTACTGAAATATCACCTCCCAAAAACAACACAAAATAAAGGAAAAGAAAGAGATTGTAAAAACATAAAGCTGCATAATTTATTCATGCTGCAATGCATGCTGGGAGCTTTGTACTATGCAGGCACCCAGCATGCATTGCCGCATGAACTATGCAGCTTTTTTTTTTCAGCAACCACGGTTGAGGTTCATATTCTGATTCTTGATGCCTGTGTGTCAAAAAGAGTAATGTGGAGCTTGAATGTTTAGTGCATGACAGTCTAATTATTAATTGCAACCTAATGTTTTGTTGAATCTTCTATGAAGAGCAGCAGACTGCCAGAAGTATTGTCCCATGCAGTTTTAATACAACTATATTTGCATATCTTTATGAATCAACCTATTAAACACCTGAAATTATATCTAGAACAATTAAGCATAAACAGTATAGTTTCTCTTGACCTTTCTTGCTATAGCTGATGAGTTTTAGAAACACAGCTATAACAGTCAGAGAAACATTAGGATATAAGAGTAAAACTTCAAGAACTCAAATAAGCAGCCTCTGATCTCTATGATGGTGAGGTCAAATGAAATATTTTTAATAAAAAAAATATAAACCTCTGTTCATTGTCAAATATTCTTACAGAAATGAAGTCAAACTGTAATCAGTGAAGCTGCTTATACTAATATTTAATGGAGTTTTTTAATCCTCTATTTTAATTCAGTTGGTTTGGTGTGAGGCTGTGTCTGTAGTTTTATTTCTTCCTTCAATTTCTTATTCCTTCAGTGATTGTGCTTGTTAACAGCAGGTGTTCAACAGCAGGTGTCTCAATTCACTTATTTGTGGTCATTCCCTCTGTCTAGTGGACTAAACTAATTGACTAATTTAAGGGCCAGGTGAATGAGGGTGTGGTGAGATTTCAGACATGCTGATTAGTTTCTCAAATACAAGGGTTTTCTACAAAGGTAGATACATGTTACTCTGTGTGAAAAGGAGGCAAATCAGCTTCTAATGCCGATCTAACTCTAGAATTTTAACACTTTACTCTGAATTACCTCAACACTTGAAATTTAACACCAATGAATTTGCTGTGTGGCTTAGTTGTTTGCAGTATTAGTGAAAACAGAAATTTAATTCTTAAAAACGTTTACAACCCTTTTATATAAACCGTTTAATATTTCTTGTTGTACTTGGATCTGCTTGTTTTTTGTGTGTGTGTGTGATTTTGTGGTCTGCAGAGACTGGTTGGTGATTTTTGGATGTGTGATCTCAGGCCCCGTTTACACTAGTGCGTATTAGTTTTAGAACGGCGTTTTAGAATGAAAACGATCCGCGTCCACACTCGCGTTTTACCCAGCGTTTCTGAACTGCTCTCCGTCCACACCAAAACGCTGAAAACGCACATCACGTGACCACACACACACACTTT